AGGGAGGTTGTTTCCGCTAGCAGGTGAAACTAGGACTAAGGGGCATAGCCTCAAAATAAAGGGAAGCAGATGTAGGACTGAGGTCAGGAGGAACTTCTTCACCCAAAGGGTTGTGAATCTGTGGAATTCCCTGCCCAGTGAAGCGGTTGAAGCTACCTCGCTGAATGTGTTTAAGGCAAGGCTAGATAAATTTTTGAACAGTAAAGGACTTAAGGGTTATGGTAAGCGGGCGGATAAGTGGAGCTGAGTCTCAAAAAGATCAGCCATGATCTTATTAAATGGCAGGGCAGGCTCGAGGGGCCGGATGGCCTACTCCTGCTCCTAGTTCTTATGTTCTTATTATGTTATTATATTGCTACCAAGCCACTCTTGGTGACAGACATTGGATTTCTCCAACCCAGGGTACACTGTGTGCTCTTGGTAATCTCAATGCTTACTCCAATTGGTGTTTAACATGGAGGAGTACTGTTTCATCAGCCGTGGTATGACAGTAGGTAGTAATCAACAGGAGGTTTCCTTGCCTATGTTTGGCTTGATGCCACGAGACTCCATGGGTTCCAGAGTCAAACTTGAGAACTCCCCAGTGCAACTCCTTCCCAACTGCATGCTACTGTGCCACCACCTGTGCTGGGTCTGCATTGCTGGTGGAACAGGACATAGCTGGAGAAGGTGAGTTTGGTGTCTGGTTCATTTTCTGTAAGATATGAATCTGCACGGCATGAAATTAAATATTTACATTAAAAAAAGCCTTCATTATATAGACTGCAGAGGCTGACCCAAACCTTCTCAAAGGCAAATAGGTACACAGCAATAAATGCTGATCTTGTCAGCAACACCCAAATCTTAATACTGAACAAAAACATCCTATTTTTTGACATTTAATATTGAGATGAATTTGAAAATATTCTTGAACATTGAATGTGTTTCATTGGAATTTAAAAGAACAAAAGGTCATCTCATTGAAACATATAGAATTCTTAATTTCTGAAGAAGGGTCCAGACCCAAAATGTCAGCTTTCCTGCTCCTCTGATGCTGCTTGGCCTGCTGTGTTCATCCAGCTCTACACCTTGTTATCTCAGAATTCTTAAGTGTCTTGGCAGGGTAAATACTGAGAGGGTGTTTCCCCTTGTTGGAAGGCCTAGGAGCAGATGGCATAATCTCAGGATAAAAGAGCAACCAATTTAAGATGGAGACGAGGAGGAATTTCTTCTCTCAGGGGTTTGTGAGTTGTTGGAACTCCTTGCCACAGAGAGCTGTCAGGGCAAAGTCCTTGAGACAGATAAATTCTTGATCAGTAGGGGAATGAAAGTTTATGGCGAAAGGGTAGGAACATCGACATGGGATTTTTGGATCAGCCATGATCCTGTTAAATGGCTGAGGGTGGTTGCGGAGCCAAATCGTCGACTCCTGTTCCTATTTCTTATGGTCATATTCCATGAATATATCAGTGTCAAGCTGTTGCTTGACCAGTCTATGAAGCAGCTCTTCCAGTGTTTGGCGCACCAGATGTAAGTAATGCGAAAGTAGCTGGCTAGACAGGGCTAGTTGCCATTGTTGCCAGTGCATAGGTCAATGCCAAATCGTCTGTACTGTTTCATTCCTTTAGACTTTGAAGGTGGCTCAATACAATTGAGTGGCTTGCTAAGCCATTTCAGAGGGCATTTAAGAATCAGTCACAGTTGTTGTGGGTCTGGATTCATATGTAGGCTAGAACTTCCCTAAAGGACAATACTGAACCAGATGACTTTTATGATAATCAACAATGGCTTCATAGTCACCATGATGGAGACTAGCTTTGAACTCCAAATTTATTAATTGAGTTTAAATACTTGTACAAAAATAAAATGCCATGATCTTCATTGCAGAGATTGCAGAGGCTCATGAAAATCTTCTCAAAGGGAAAATTAAGCAATAAATGCCAATCCTATCAGCAAAACCCAAACTTAAACAATGAACAAAAAGGGTTCCATTTTTGTGATTTTGATTTTCAAAATTAACATGAATTTTAAAATATTCTTGAACATGGTATAAAAAGCAACACATTTCCTTGAACTTTGTGCCCTACAGATGTTTCATGTGGCTCGTCATAAACATAATAGGTGAAGTGACTCACTGGCAATAACATTTGGAGATGCTCTTGACAGAATATGAATCAGCTACTTTGTTTTAAATATGGTATCCTTTATTGTTGATCCATTAGAATTGCGGGCACGCAGATTTGATTATTTGTTGTTTTGCTTGCTTGTAAATGACTCTAATTGCTTGCGGAGCGAAGCTTTTTTCAGTTACATCATCAGTCAGTTGGAAACGATGCACAAAGTGAAGTCCATTACACAAGTTCATTATCCATCATTAATCTTGTCTGAAAATGCCTGATGGTTGCATTGTTGATTGAACAGAGAAGGTACAAAAATGCAGTTCGTACTCACATTTATCACATTGCTGAGGTAACCAACTCGGACCATCAAGTTAATAGGCTTGCATAAGACTTAATAAATATCAGTGGTATTGCCTTGATAAATGATATTTTCAAATAAATATTATTCTGTTTGCTTAGAGAGCACAACACAATAGACCGTCATCCTTCTTCCTTAATTATTTACTTACAAATAATTTTGTATTCCTTATTGTAGTTGGATTGTAAAGTAATTTTTAGTTTCTACAAATAAGTGATTGTTTTAATAGGTGTTGAAGTGAAACAGTCTCCAATTCAACAAGTACTGCTAATGACTTAGACGATCACTTGTTCACCCAATCGTCAGTGGTGCTACAAAGCTGTAGTACCTGTATGTAAGACACTTTACAACAGTGATAATAATAATAGCCTCTTGCATAGCTCTGATGCAGCAAGTAACTTGATTTTCTATTTGTGCCCTGACATTTCCATCTTTGTCTCTTTGTGCAGATAGGAATCAAACTATTCATAACAGCTCCTGGAATCAATGCAGAAAGATATAATTGCTGTTTGTGGCTGTGGTAGGGCTTTAATTTAAAGCTTAATTGTGAGGTTTTATTTCAGCTTGGTGACCAATTTCAACTGGTGAGAAGCCTGAAAGCCACTTAAGTGTCAGTATTATTCAGCTGATATGACTTTTGCCTCAAACTCAGTGGATTGTAAGTTCAAGCCCTACTCGAGGACTTAAGCACGTAATTGTGGCTGACACGTCAATGCAATACTGAGTGTGCACTGTATTTTTAGGAGTATTACTCAGCATCACAGAATTATTATAGCGCATTGTGCCTGCACCAGCCCCGGCTCTAATACCCTAGAGCCAATCTCCTCTCTTTTCTCTGTACCCCTGCACACCATTACTATACAAAAAATTCCAATGCCCTCTTGAATGCCTCAATTGAAACTGCCTCCACCACATTTCAAGGCAGCACATTCCACACCTTAACAACCCAGTGAGTGAAAAGGTTTTTTTCTCACATTATCCTTGCTTTATTTGCACATCACTTTACATCTCATTCTTGTTTATTTTACAAGCAGAAACAGCAATATGCTAGCTACTCTGTCCAGCCGCTCATGATTTTGAAAACCTCCCCACCTTCTTTTCTCTAGGGAGAACAGTCACAGCTTCTTTAATCTCCCTCATAGTTGAAGTTTCTCTTACCTGGAGCCATTCTAGAAATTCACTTTTGCACTGTCTCCAATACTTAATGTCTCGCATTTTTCCTGTAAGGTAGCACCACAATTGTTAACAGTACTCCAGCTGATGGCTAACAAGTGTCTTGTACAAATTCAATATCACCTCCTTGCTCTTGTACGCTAAGGCCTATTAATCAAGCCGAGAACACTATATCCTTCATTTACTGCTCTCTCCACCTGTCCTGCTACCTTAAATGATCTGCGCACATATACACTCAAGTCCCTCTGCTCCTGTACCCTCTTAGAATCATAACCCCTATTTTACATTGGTCAGAAAAACACTGAAAGACAAAGTGCATTATTTCACACTTCTCTGCATTAAACCTCATGTTCCATCTATCCATCCACTCCAACAACTTGTCAATATCCTTTTGGAGTTCCACATTATCCTCCTCATAGTTTACAATTTTTTGACAGAGTGTTGTTACATAATATGTTAAGTTGAGATTCTGTTTTAAGTGAAATAGCCTCTGGTACTATTCAATAGAGAACTAAAAGTGCTCTTGTTATTTCAGGCAATATTGTTCCATCAATCAGTACCAGGGAAAAACAGGTTAACTGGTCATTCATTTCACTTGCTGTTTGCTGTGCGTAAGTTGGTAGTTGTAAGTAATTTTCATTTCAATACTTTGAATAATGCTGATTAACATTAAATCAAAAATATGTGAAATTTAATCTGAATGTCAAACTAATTTATTCAAGGATGAAGAGCACTAAAAACTCAGCTTATCCCATGTTTGGGAGATATTCATTAAATGGTTGACTTTACAAATGCATACCAATGACTGAGAGAATCATCTGACAGGTGCATGTCTAAAGGAAGAAAAGCAGCAGTTGATTTCCTAATGCATATATTGAGTTTGCAAGGCTCCTGACTGGCAGCATCACTCATGAATATTAGACCAACATGTGTTTATAACTTCGTGATACAAGAGTGGAATAAACTCAGTATTTCACTGTTTGCTAATATGCATCATCCCTGTAGAAGATGAGAAACTACTTCAACTATAATTTTTAAAATTTAATTGTAATAGACATTGGGACCAGAATTATATTCTAAACTTACCTGATCCTTTTTTATAACTGGCTAAGGTATGAATTATTATCATCCTTTGCTGTCTGGATCTTTGGGGCGGATTTTGTATTTAATATAAGGTGGTGTAAAATGATTGTTTTAAAGAAACATTTGTGTAACATATATAAGATTTTATTGTCTTTGAAGTGAATTATCTATTCTTACAAAATACATGGACAAAGAATTTATAGCTTATCTACAAAAGAAAAGGGATATATTTGTATCCTTCTTTAACATGGTGTTTACTAGGATGCCTTTTTACGATCTTTACAGTCCTACTTGGCTTTCCCTTGTTTTCTAAGCTGCTCTTCAAAGAACTCATTGCAGGCAACAGTCAGAGCTGCAACTAAAATAACAAATTCATTGAAATCCACCTCATTATCTTTGTTGGAATCAAGATCTTTCATTATATTGTCCACAAGAGATGGGTCCTTCTGAGACTGAAGAAACAAAGGAGAAAGTTGATTAGACACATTTAACATTTTCAATGGTACAACTCACTGAAGAGCATTAATGCCAATTGCACAGAAATTGTGTAGGTAGCATATTATCGCTGAATAATAAAAAAGGAAAACAAACTGGCTACAATAGCATAGAAAACAAAATAAATATTTTTTTTAAATGACAGTTCTCTTCTGATATTTCATTTGGAGTTGACAGGTTGTCTCCACTCCAAGCTTCTTTGTTATTAATGAACAATAAATACACTCTGATATGAAAATGCATGAATTAAAGCTTAAGTAGCACTTGGCACGGAATGGAAAATACTGGCCTACATCAAAATTATAATGACTATTATCTCATCATGGGTTAGCAAGTTAAAGTTTGAACAAATATCTTGTATTAAAAACTGTTTTGCTGAATTATTTAATCAAATACCTCAAAAAGCTACGCTTTTAATTATGATTATCCAAAGATGTGCAGGTTAGGTGGATTGGCCGTGCTAAATTGCCCAAAGTGTCCAGGTATATGCAGGCTAGCTGGATGAACCATGCGAAATGTTGGGTTACAGGGATAGGGTGGGGGCGGCGTGGATGCACTTTGGAGGGTCGATGTGGACCCGATGGGCCAAATGGCCTGCATCCACACTGTAGGGAATCAATGATCCTATGATTATGCACAGACATGTCAATCATGTACTTTTTATGCTGACGATCAAAAAATTCCTGTTGTTCATCTCTGCTTCCGCCATTCTCATTGTCAGAAAATCCCTGAATTGTTTTGTAGTTGCCCAATTGCTAGAAGCAAATGGTAGGATTTTTCAGACTAATGGAGATCACAACCTGACCCTATTTTGTGAATTGTCACAGGCAATTATTTTGAGGCCCCTCCTTTCAGCTTATTAAACTTTGAAATAGAGAAGTGTGTTCAACAGCTGGGCCACCAAGTTGGAGAGGGAGCTCCTCATCTGGATGGTCTACAGCTGCAGCTGTGAAGGGGTTGGCCTCATAGCCATGGAGTGCTGGACCTTGCTGTGCCACTGGGAAGCTACTGTCAGACACCTGAGCTAGTCCTGACTGCCTCTGGGACATACCACAAAGGCTGACCGGAAAATTCCATTCAGTCTCTAGCATTAGCTTCATTTGGCCTTTGATGACCTTTAATTAACTAACACTATAGGGCACATAATCCTAACTTTCTCCAGAATTCCCCCATGAAAGGTTGGGGATGATGCTCACAAATCGGCATGACAGACAAGGCACAACCTTCATGCACACCTTCCTGTGCCCTAGGTGGATGAACCATGCGAAATGTTGGGTTACAGGGATAGGGTGGGGGCGGCATGGATGCACTTCGGAGGGTCGATGTGGACCCGATGGGCCAAATGGCCTGCATCCACACTGTAGGGAATCAACAATCCTATGATTATGCACAGACATGTCAATCATGTACTTTTTATGCTGACGATCAAAAAATTCCTGTTGTTCATCTCTGCTTCCACCATTCTCATAGTCGGAAAATCCCTGAATTGTTTTGTAGTTGCCCAATTGCTAGAAGCAAACGGTAGGATTTTTCAGACTAATGGAGATCACAACCTGACCCTATTTTGTGAATTGTCACAGGCAATCATTTTGAGGCCCCTCCTTCCAACTTATTAAACTTTGAAATAGAGAAGTGTGTTCAACAGCATCATCCCCAACCTTTCATGGGGGAGTTCTGGAGAAAGTTAGGATTATGTGCCCTATAGTGTTAGTTAATTAAAGGTCATCAAAGGCCAAATGAAGCTAATGCTAGAGGCTGAATGAAATTTTCCAGTCAGCCTTTGTGGTATGTCCCAGAGGCAGTCAGGACTAGGTCAGGTGTCTGAGAGTAGCTTCCCAGTGGCACAGCAAGGTCCAGCACTCCATGGCTATGAGGCCAACCCTTTCATGCACACCTTCCTCTGCACTCGCCCCATTAATATTCTGCCTGTGGAATTTGGAAACATAATGGAGAGTGGGAATAGAGAGAACAATACTGTGAAGTATTGCATTTTGGTTAGGCAAATCAATGCAGGACGTATCCAGTTAATGGTAGAGCCCTGGGGAGTGTTGTCGAACAAAGAGACCTAGGGGTGCCAATGCATAGTTCCTTGAAAGTGGAGCTGCAGGAAGACAGGGTGGTAAAGGAGGCATTTGGCACACTTACATTCATTCATTAGAACATTGAGTATAGGAGTTGGGATGTCATATTGCAGATATACAGGACATTGGTGACTCCACATTTAGAATGCTGTGTACAATTCTGGTCTCCCTGCTATAGGAAGGATGTTGTTAAACTTGAGAGGATGCAGAAAAGATTTTTGAGGATGCTGCCGGGACTAGAGAGTTTGAGTTATAGGGACAGGCTGAATAGGCTGGGGCTTTTTTCCCTGTAGCGTTAGAGGCTGAGGGGTGAGGGGTGTGAATAGAGTGAATAGCTAAGGTCTTTTTCCTCTGGGGGGTGCCCAAAACCAGAGAGCATAGGTTAAGGTGAGAGGGGAAAGATTTAAGAAGGACCTAAGGGATAACTTTATCATGCAGAGGGTGCTGCGTGTATGGAACGAGCTGCCAGAGGAAGCGTGTACAATTACAACATTTTAAAGGATCTATGAATAGGAAGGGTTTAGAGGGATATGGGCCAAATGCTGGCAAATTGGACAGAAGAAACAGGCAGTAACCAAATGAGTAGTGCAGTCCCTTCCAGCATGACAAACTTCTTAGCAGTACACTGATTGTGATGTGAGGAGACTTCAGAGTGAACTACACATCAACACTACGCAGAAAATAAATGTCTTCTGCTAAAGTTCATTATGTAATCAAGGGATACAAATACTGATTGGTATTTCAAAGTCATAATTTGTGAAGAGTTGTCTAGAGCTATAGACTTGACACAAAGTGTGGTGATGACTTCAGATGCTATTTTCAACTACTACAAGAAACTCATGCTATCAAATAGCACTTGTTGAGCGCTAACCAACTCATCGATGTACAGTTTGGGTCCTGTCAGGATGACTCAACTCAAGATGTTATTACAACTTTGTTCAACACAGGGTCATAAGAACTGATTTCAGGAGCTAAGTGACATCAAGGCAGTATCTAAACATACGTGGCCTCAAGGAATCCAAAAAAAAATTAAAGCCAATGGGATTGAGGGGAAATCTCTCCATGAGTTTGAGCCGCGCCTGGTTTAAAGCAAGAGAGCTGTAATTGGTGGGGGCCAATCATCTCAGTTGTAAGACATTGCTGCAGAAATCCTTTAGGACAGTATTTTCTCTTTTTCCTAACCTGCTCTCATCTTTGTTGGTCCATATGGCTCTTAGCCAACTTTACACATAAATTAAACAATTGGCGAACATGGGTGATTTACTGATGGTAGTTAATAGATAGAAAAAATACCATGGGAGATTTAATGATGGAAGCAAAATATTCAGTTGTGTGTAAAAGCCATTCTGGATATATTTAAAAAATTAGGACAGTATCCTAAGTTTGACCATCTTCACCTATTTTGTCAATCAGTAAATCCCAAGCATCAATATTCAGGACGTCATTACTGACCAGGAACTGAACTTAACCAAACGCATAAATACTGTGGATACGAGAGCTGGTCACGGGCTGGGAATTTTGTAGTGAGTAATTCACCTCCTAACTCCCCAAAGCCTGTCCATCAGCTACATACCACCAGTCAGGATTGTGATGGAATACTGTCCACTTGTCTGGTTGAGTGCAGTTCCAACTACACTCAAGAACCTTAACATCAATCAGGCCAATGTAATTCACTTGTTCGGCACTCCAGACAATAACTTAAGCACTCATTCCCTCCACCACCCTTACCATTTACAAGATACACTGCCTGTATTTGTCAAACCCCCTTCAATGGTGTCTTCCAAACTGGTGACCCTACTATCTTAAGGACAAAGTTAAAAGGAGTATATTACCGTCTGTAAGTTCCTCACCAAATCTCACACCACCTTAACTTGGAACTAAATGGTCATTGTTTCAGCATTACAGGATCAAAATCCTGGAGCTCCCTCCCAAACAGCATTGTGGATGTACCTTCATCACGCTGATTGCGATGGTACAAGAAAGCAGCTCCCCACCACATCGCGGGACAGTTTGGAATGGGTTTGCCAGTGATGCACACATCCAAGGAATGAATAAAAAAAATTTAGAAATGCTTAGCTTTTGTTTTAAAAATGGAAGCTTCTTTAAAAATTACGTGTTATTAATTTGCACTTGTGACACCTTAATTGTGATTACTCTATCAAAAATCCTTTGTAAAAATAGCCAATCAATAAAACAAATATCATTTTGTTTATGGGCCATGGTAGATAGTAATTTATACCCTTGTTCTTTCGTTCTTAATGTTTGTAATTGTGACTAGTAGTGCCACTTTCAAAGCAAAGTCTGTAAATTGCAGTTAATTCCAGAGAAGGCTTTGTTTGTTATCTGTAGCATTTCTCTAGTGCTTCTACAGAAATCCCTTGGGCAATGACATTCCCTTAATGGATCTAATGAAGCCAAATTTGGCATTAATTGAACAGAATTATGTGCATGTTTATGGGCAAAGGGTGGAAGAATGGCACTAAGTTATGATGTTTATTTGGAGGCCCCTGCCAGACAAGATGGGCTGAATGACCTCCTTCTACAACATAACATTGTGGCAATGCTTTTCAAAAGTGGTGTGTCACTTCTGTGCAAAATGAGGAATGCTTAATGTTATGGGGAAAGTACATTATTCGGGTTTTACTCTACAGAACTCTGCCTGATTCAAGTATTCACTTCCCTCCTTTTTAAGACAGAAAACTATCCATAAACATTAATAATACTGTTTTCAGAAAATGGCAAGTTCTGTGCAGGGATGACGCTGTCAGATGTGGAACACCTGAAGGACCGTTTCCAGAATGACCTGCAGAATTTAAACAGAGGGTAGCTTTACAGAATCAGAATCACAGAATGAAATGAACGCCATTTGATCCATCATGTGTGCACTAGCTCTCTGAGCATTTTAACTCAGCGCCAATCTCCTGCTTTTAACTCGCAACCCTACCCATTTGTTTCCTATATTAATAGTCATTCAGTGGCCTTGTTTCTTGTTTCCTGAGACATTTCTGTCCACATTGACAGGCTGGAGGCCTCATGGGCCTGCTTCATAATAGAGTCATAGAGTCATAGAAATTTAAAGCATGGAAACAGACCCTTCGGTCCAACTCATCCATGCCGACCAGATATCCTGGATAATTCTAGTCCCATTTTCCAGCATTTGTTTAAATATTTTGGAAATGAAAGAGATCATGAAGCTCCCAATCATAGGGCATGGAGCTTGAACACAGGAGAACATAGGACATAGAACAGTACAGCACAGTACAGGTCCTTTGGCCCATGATGTTGTGCCGACCTATTATCCTACTAAGATCAATCTACCATGCATACCCTACATTTTACTATCCTCCATATGCCTATCCAAGAGTCACTTAAAAGTCTCTAAAGTATCTGACCCTACTACCACTGCCAGCAGCGCATTCCACACGCCCACCACACTTTGTGTGAACAACCTACCTCTGACATCTCCCCTATACCTTCCTCCAATCACCTTGAAATTATGCCCCCTCGTAATAGTCATTTCCACCCTGGGAAAAAGTCTCTGACTATCCACTCTATGCCTCTCATCATCTCGTAAACCGCTATCAAGACATCTCTCATTCATGATCATGGGAGAGTTCAGAATTACGGGAAAGGGGATGGGGGTGGTTGAATAATGGTCCAGGAGATCCAAGTCGTGGCAGGGGACAGGCTATCCAATGATGGTCCAGTAGCTTCTGACTATAAGGGGCAAATACAGTGGTGGTTTGAGTTGTGGTCCCAATCACAGGACATGTTTTGATTGTTGTCTGGGCAAACATCTTACAACTGGAGAGTATGTAGTGGCCTGTGGGAACTGGTTAGGTCATGGGATGTTAGTTTTTAGGACATTAGTTTTTAGGTCTGTTGGAAACTTGACTTGTCCTCTTGTCACAGTTTAGGGTGGCATTGCAGCTCAGTGGTTAGCACTGCTTCCTCATGTGCCAGGAACTTGGGTTCAATTCCACCCTCCGGCAACTGTCTGTGATGTTTGTACATTCTCCCCGTGTCTGCGTGGGTTTCCTCCGGTTTCTTCCCACAGTCCAAAGATGTGCAGGTTAGGTGGGTTGGCCATGGGATGTATAGGGTTACCGGGATAGGGTAGAATGGGTGGGTCTGACTGTGACGCTCTTTGGAGGGTCAGTGTGGACTTTATGGCCCGAATGACCTGAATCCACACTGTAGGGATGCTATGATTATGGATCCAAACCCTCAGGAGAAGTGATTTACAAAATGGTCCCTTATAAAGGTAGATTGAAGAAGTTGGGATGGTTCTTCTCGGAGAAAAGAAGGCCGAGAGGAGATTTGATAGAGATTTTCAAAAGCATAAATGGGGTGGATAGTGTAGATAGGGAGAAGCTGTTTCTGCTGAAAAAGGTACAAGAATGAGAGGGCGTAGAATCATGGATGATGTGAGAAATAAAGAATTCACAAGATAATTAATTAGGGTATAGAACGCACTGCCTGAAAATGCGGTGGAGGCAGGTTCAATTGAGGCATTCAAAAGGGCATTGCACCATTATTTGGATAGAAATGGTGTGCAAGGGTGTGGGGAAAAGGTTGGGAATTGACCTTAGGTAATGATGCTCATTTGAAGACCCGGTGCAGGCATGATGGGCCGAAAAGCCTTCTTCTGCACCATTATAATTTTGCGATTCTGTGATACTTGTCACTTTAAAGTTGCCTAATTTACTAAAACCTGGGAAACTCAGCCAAGTTTAAAACAAAACGTTTGTTAAATTGAAGGTGCACAGCTTCATTATGCAATTCAATTGACCAACTCCGTTCCTGTGAGCAGGTTGGTTCCTACCCAATCTGCAACACCTCTGCATGGAAGTGGGCTGGTTAGATTTCAGTTTGGTTCTTGTTCCAGTTTCTTATGCTTCTTAACTTGTGACATGACCAAAATCCCGTTTTTGAAATTTAAGATTCGGAGTGATGTTTCTTTTGAACTTTACATTATTATGACCTTGTTTTCTATTGAAAACACAAATTAATGTCATCTGAATGGAGTTAGCATAGACAAAATAAAAAGCACAATAGGCTGTAAAGACTCAAAAACTAAATAGGCGGCAGTGAAAATCTAAGATCTATTTATCTGAATGGATGGATGCAAATGCCTCTGGTCCTTGTGGTCCAAAGCCACCCTGTTCCTATTCATGATGAAGCAACTACATGAAAATCTCTTGATCTCAAACAATGCAGGAGAGGCTGCCGGTCAATGCCAGGGGCAGTCAATGTCACATATTGTTGAGCAATAGTACAACACAGACACAGAGTTTTCTTCCGAATAAATCAACGGAGCTAGACATAAAACCACCTCCCACACTATTTCATTTCACCTTGTTAACAAAACCTTTGATTTCTTTTTCTTAATTTAATCTGGTTTAATAGCTATCTAAAATGCTATTCACCTAGCTCAGCCACTCGGTCTTGATTGCAAATTCTATATAGGATCTCCCAGACCTGGGCTTTGAAGGTAAGTACAGACTAGGAAGGGCATTAGGCTCTGTCATCCTGGTAGAGGCAATTTTAAACATTGTACATAACGGTATCTAACTGATTTCACTGGGCACTCTGTCGCAGTTTGAGAATTTATCTCAGGTTGCATAATTAAATAAAATAAAAACTGGCAAAGTGTATTGTAACAAGCAATTTTATCCAGAACAAGTTGCTGAAAAGCTTTGGCTCATGAGAACAATACTATTGTTTGGTACAAGTGCCAGAGGAAAGGTGAGACTTGTGTTTTGCTCAGTGAGTTGTTGTGATGTAGTATACACTAGCTGTTGTGGTGGCAGAGGCTGAATCAGTAGTAGTTTCTAAGGGGAGTTGGATACATAATTGAAAAGAAAACATTTGCAGGGAAAGGGCAGAAGAGTAGATTTAATTGTATCATAGATTTGATACAGGGGTGAGGATTCTCCTGTGTGTGTGATGCTATCAATACTGCATTTTACTTATCTCTGCTGGATAGTGGAAGATGTGGAAATGGGTTTCAGAGGGCAAACGGATATTGAATATTTGCTATTTAATTTCCTTACAATTGTACCCCAGTGTTTGGTGCCAAATACAAGAAACTGCAGAATTCATGCAATCTTCACACTGGAGTCACAGGATAAAAAAGCTCATTGTGGAGAAGTCATGCACTGCTAACTGAGAAAGTAAGACAGAGTTTCATTGTGCTGAAGCCAATTCCTCTTCCCATTTTAGAGTCACTCATTCTCTTACCACCAGGAAATTTCCCAGTTCACTTTGTAGAAGGTCCTTCAGTTCGCCCTTGTTGAGTTTGTACTTATCTCCCTCTTTTCCAGAATAATTGTGAAAGACGTGGATCAGTGAATCCATGGCACCTTCCAGCTGGGATGGCATCTTGATAGAAGTCTGAGGAACAAGGTGCAAACAGAAACCAGCATATTAATACTGTGTAGTGCTGCCTGCCTCCTACATGTACTATGCAGCAGTAGACATAAAAGCAATCAATTCTTCTTCATAGGGACAGTTTACAGAATTCAATTATCAGAAAAGTATAGCTGGGTAAAATGAAAGTCCAGCAATAATACAATAATCTTAGTGTATCCACCATAGGTACAAATATTAATATTAGTCTAAAATCCAATAAGCAGAGTACCTGTAAGTAATGACTGCACTGCCACTTAATGAGTTATTTCTACCAGAAAATTCCCAAGAAGCAAGTGTCCTCATAAATACATTAACCAAGTTGTAGTTGTAATAACTGTGTAAACTAGAAAGTAAAATAAAGGAGAGATTACCTGCTGTAGGAAAGGCAATCAAAACCAATCAAGTGATAGTGGACTGGAATGGAAATCTTTCTCCTCCTGCAGGATTTATAGCTGAAAATATGATTTGAAACACACCTATTTAGTTGCATCAACCAATAATAACTGCAAGCCAGTTTCGACGGTTAAATGCAGAAACACAAACAACAGTCCTCCCAAGATACTGAACTAAGTAAGTACTGTGCCCTGATTAGTGCCGGATCATCAGTTTGCTGGATTCAAGGATGTCACCCATGAGGGTCACAAGCTTTAATTTCCTGTCTCTGTACAGGCAATGTGTTCAGTTGAGTCATTCACCAACAGTGATTCACCTGTATATTGTAGTAAGTATCATAAAGGGCCTTTAACATAATGTTAAAAATCCTCTTTGCCCACTTATAACCCATACCTCATACCCATTGCCTCTAATCGAGTATAAAACAATTTCTTCTCTCACCGGCCACTAATTTACCAAACCAGCATTGATTGTATTAGGTTACTGGTGTTTATTATTCTCCCACTATGTCCTGTAGCAGCTGTGGCAATCCCCTTGTTGGAAATATTTTTTCCTTCCTTTCTTTCTCTCTTTGGGAAATAGTATTCAAAGACATCACTTATTATAAAACAACCTGTTCATTAAACAATGTCTCCCATTTCCTCTCTCTAGTTCCCCTTCTACCTATGCTGCTGGACAATCCTATAGGCATTGTCTCAATGGGGTATGTTACTGGCCTAGTAATCCAAAGTCTGGACTAATAGTGAAGCTGAGTTGTGAGTTCATATTCCTACCAAAGCAGCTGGGGAATTTAAATTCAGATGATTAAACAAATGTGGACTAAAAAGCTTGTATCAGTGATGGTGACCACAAATTTATCACTGGAAAAGTCACATCTGGTTCACTTACGTCCTTTAGGGAAAGAAATTTGTCATATTTTCCCATTGTGGGTATATATTTGTTTCCATACCCACAGCAATGCAATTGACTCTTAACTGCGCTGTAAAATGAGAACCACTCAGTTGTGTTCAAAAAGATGATTAGGAATGGGCAATAAATGCCAGCCCTGTCAGAAATACAGTTTCCTGTGAAGGAACAAAAAAAAGTATAGCAGTAACCTATATACTGCCTTTAATGTAGTCAAACACCAGAGTATCACGCAATATTTGCTGAAATATCTGCCATTGCTCATTTACTGTTCTTCCCCTAAGTCCGAGTTAACCAGTCCACTTTAGACAACATTTTTTTTGTTCCTCGGTAATTGTACTTATTTAAGTTGACGCCATTGGTTTGAGATCCAAGTTACTCTCCCTCAAACTGAATTTGAAATTCTACTATGCTGTGTCAACCCTAGACGATCCTCAACTACAAAATCTCTGACTAATTCTACCTCATAATACATAACAAGATCTAAAATAACCGGTTCCAGGGTGGATTGTACAATTAACTACTCTGAGAAACAATCCTTGATTTACTCTACAAATTTGTCTTCCGTGTTATCCTTACTCATCTAATTTGTCCAGTTGATATGCAGATTAAAATCACCATTAAAAATGGTAATGCTCTTCTTATATGTCCCCTTTATTTCTTGATTTATACTTTGTCCTGTATTGAGGCTACACTTATTTCCCTTACTGTTCCTTATTTCTGCACAAACTGATTCCACACCATATTCTATTGCACCTAAAACACTATTCACCATTGCATTGACAACTCCCTTTATTAACAATGCTACTCCACCACCTTTTTCTTTTTGCCTGTTTCACTGGAACATTGAATACACTTAAACAATGACTTGCTAGTCCTGGTCAACGTATAAACACACCTCCTCTAATAGTTATCAAATTATATTCATTTATTTCTGTTTGTGCTGTTAATGCCTGTACTTTGTTAGAAATGCTGCATGCATTCAAAGCACCTGGACAGCGACCAAGCATCCTGTGAATTGATCACATACCCCCTCTTGTCTACCTCCTGCATTAAGACTATTAGTGTTGTATTGGTGAATTTTCAAGCTTCCCTCTGCAATACTCTGACATTTCTATGTATGTCCCAGGTCAAACAGACTTCTGGAATGACTTTAAGCACTTATCTAGATAAAATGAATGCCCTCTTATGAGGTCCAAGCAGACTTTCTCTGGTTTTGATTAGTTTGAACTTGTATCAGCTTCTCACAATTTTGTAGCACCTGGTAGACAAAGTTTGTGCGTTGCCTAAATTGGAAGTGACAGGTGCTGACAAATTGTGCATTGTGATCCTTGCACCATTTCTTGAGTGCTATCAAATTCTGCACTCCCCCAAATGTGCAAAGAATGCTGATGCAGCTTCAAGTGCCACAGCAGCTGGGCTACTTCCGGATTCTGTTACAGTGCTAGCTAACTCTTCAACCTGTAGCTGCACATAAAAAATCATGGAGATTACGGGCATCTGTAAAGAACTGTCCAATAGCAAACTTGCTAGTTAGCTCTTTGTGTAATATATGCAAAATGTATCTACTTTTGCCTTTTTGTATTTATTCATTTTTGGGATGTGGGCGTCGCTGGCTGGCCAGCATTAATTGCCCGTCCCTAGTTGCCCTTGAGAAGGTGGTGCTGGTTAGTTGCCTTCTTGAAGCGCTGCAGTCCACCTGCTGTGAGTTGACCCACAACGTCATTAGGAAGAGAATTCCAGGATTTTGACCCAGCCACAGTGAAGGATGGTGAGTGGCATGGAGGGGAACTTGAAGGTAGTGGTGTTCCCATATATCTGCTGCCCTTGTCCTTCTGGATGGAAGTGCCACAGTATTCACAGCCTCTGACTTGCTCTTGTAGCCACTGTGTTGATGTGGTGAGTCCAGCTGAGCCTAGATTACATCTAAACTAAATTATTTCCAAAATGCTATTTATCATTTCCTGATGTGATTTGTCAGAAAATGCAGGGTTGACAGGTAAAGCATTTTTCTCACTTCATATCCTCTTATCTTCCTGAACACTTTTTTATGATTATCACTCAATACCAAATCAAAGTATGTGCAATATTCAGAGAATATGCGTATGAATATTTTCACCTGGTAATTATGTCCTTCAGTATTATCACTTTATCGTGTTTGCATTAGATGTGTTTTTTTAAAATTGAGATGTTAATTTATTTAAGATGGTAAATAGAGGAATTTGATACACGTGTTCCTGCAATAATATCACACAGTGTAATTTTCAGTCTAGGAAATCTTTGATTTATGTGTAGGAGAGAATATGATGTGTATTTGTTATTACAAGCCAAATCCTTGAAGGGTTTCTGTTTTGGAACTATATACTTGAAGATATTCTGCTAAATCATACATACAGTAACTTATGCTGTCATAGCTTCCTCTGGCGCTGAAGGAAAGCATTTTGTATCTGGCATGAAACGATCTTACAGATTTAATGTAACCTTTAAAATTATTAAGGGCTATCCATGGATAAATTAATTCTTAGAACAACATCCAAGTCTCAATTGATTATCTACCTGAATAAGCAGTGCAGGCTACAAAAGCTAAAATTCCTGACTGAGGCAAATGTGCTTACTCCTCAGCATTCCACTTTACAAAGGGAAAATTTCACTGAAATCTTTAGATTATTTGCTGATATGAACATTTCTCTTGTCTAGTTTTTATGTGGTTTGATGTATGGTGACTGTTTCACACATTGCCTTAAATTTAATCTAGAATAATAAATCTTTTTTCTATTAACAAGGACAACATGACACATGCTAAAACACTTAACACAAAATTGTTTGAGGATTCCTGTATTACACTAGGCACTTGATTAAGTACATTTTCAGAATGGATTGAATGAGCTATCAAAACATCCGGTGAAATATTCCTAGCCCTTGAGCGGTGTGGGCAATGTGAGAAATTTGGTAGAAGATGACAAAAATGGAAAAATAAGATTCTCAATGATGAGAAAAAAAGTCCAATTTTCCCTCTAAAGTTTCAATGGCTAGAGGAAAACCCAGCTGGTGAGTGGCAAGAAGCCTATTTCAACGTACTTGCGTCGCACTATTAGCTCATCTCACCTGATTTATATGCAGGCTGTGATTCTCCCAGTCACTGATGAGAAATTAGATAGCACCAGAACCCAGTGTGAGAGTTTGAGCAGTTATCTGGTGGATGAAACTTACTGATTTCTTCCCCACTTCTCCATGTTTGCCTTAGCCCTAGTTGAAGGAAGGTGGACTGTGCCATTGATCATTACAGATTAATCCTTTAATCTCTGTGAAACAGAAGTGATCACAGATGATCTTAAAATATCACTTGTGGTGACCAGTTCTCGAACACACTACAAAGATCTCATGCTGCACAATTGCTTGGTTCAATTTCCCTCTGTCAGTAAACTATGTAGAAATGTCAATTGCTCAGGAACATAGGTTTAAGGTAAAAGGGGGAAGCCAGAGGGTGATTAATCTGTGGAAGTCATGGCGCAGAGGGCTGTGGAAGCCAAGTGTACTTAAGACAAAAATAGATAATTTCCTGATTAATAAGGGGATCAAGGGTTATGAGGAGAAGACAGAAGAATGGGGTTGAGAAATATATCAACAATGATCAAATGACAGAGCACACCTGATGGGTCAAATGGCCTAATTCTATTCCTTTATCTTATGGTCTTATGGAAAGTTTAAAGGAGATGTAAGAGGTAATTGTTTTACATAGAGGTGGTAAAAGCAGATACAATAGCAACATTTAAGAGATAACACAGTGTGGAGCTGGAGGAACACAGCAGGCCAGACAGCATCAGAGGAGCAGGAAAGTTGACATTTCAGGTTGGGACCCTTCTTCAGAAATTCTTCTTTTCAACTTCCCTGCTCCTGACAAAATTTTACAAGAGCCAATCAAATCCTGCCACCAGGAGCAAAAACATGTCCTGACGCCATGCAGGTGGACAGTCAGGGCCTGAGACTGATTTGACCAGCAGAGGCCAATTAAGCAGCTGTTTGATCGTACCTGCCCCTCAGAGCTCCAGCCTCAATGAGAGAGCGAGCAGCCCGGCAGTGCCTTCAATAGAGTGGCTGTACCACCTAAAGATAAGCAGGAAGTGAGTTGTGAAGCGAATATAAGGAGCCCACAAAGGGAT